ACGCCAATTTCTCCGTTCCTATTTGTTTCCGTACAAAATCCTTTATAGTATGAACGTGTCCTCTAATAGTCAACAACTCCTGCAAATTTCATCAAATTCGAAGGTAGGGGCTATTCGGAAGTCTTACCAAATTAATGACCTCTATCTTTTTGCTGACAAATATTGAACTATCAAATGATTTCGTCTATTATTCTACCTTTTTGAGTAGAATTTTTGTTGTAGATTACTGAAATAATAATTGTATTGATTTATTCTACTCAAAAAGGTAGACAAAATCATTTATTAATTAAATATATTTGTTAGAGTAAAAAGACAGGGGTCATTTACTTTTTTTACCTCCATATAATTTTATATCTTTTTTCAGATATTCTACTCTATCACCAACTAAAGATTTTCGGAGGACCTCTTTCTTTTTATCCCTAAATAATACAACAATTTAAGACAAAAAGACGACCTCATAGAACTTAATAAATTAATTGAGAGATGTTAAATGCATATTAATCACAATGACAATAACTGATATCAATATATTATAACTGATTGAATAATGCTTTGACGTTCGTAGGTCAAGATCAAGTTGGAAGATGCAACGGGGCTCGACTTGCATCTGTCGCACGCAGTAGCTTCGTTCTGCGTAAAACCGCGAGACAGCGTGGTGCACGAATATATTCTCAGACCGCGAGTTCTTGGCGATGTTAATATCACGGTCTCCGCTTCGATCGACTCTGATTACGCTGAACCATGCGGCCCGGAAATGCTTCTGTATACACGGTAAATGGAACAATCGGATATTCCTTCGCAATTATTAATATTTAAGAATTCTATAAAAATACGTAGTTTTATTTATGCAGTAAACTTGACGAAAATATAATTTTAGACCATACCCGCACACATATATCGGGGAATTAAAAATTTCCAATATTTTATCAAAATAAGAAAAATATGATTTTGTCAAATATAATTCTTGATTGTTTAAATATTTAAAAAAATTGGTTAAATATTTAAAAAAAAATTATAGAAATTGTAAATAAAACATTCGACAGTATTTAGCAATTTGTACACTTTTTCAGGGACGTGATTATAAAGCCGATACTGGTGCTACCGGAAGGCTTTCCTGTGGAAATAACGAAATCCGCGTTCATCTGTCCGAAGGACTTTAGCGACGACTCCACCATAACTTGGAATCTCGATCTACCCGACGATTTGGTGCCCGAAAGCGCGAGAGCGTACGTGTCCCTGATAGGAGATATCCTAGGTCCGGTCCTTGAAAATCTAGACAATCTTGTTCGCTTGCCGATGGGATGCGGCGAGCAAAATATGATTCTCTTTGTTCCTAACATCCACGTGATCGGCTACTTGGACGCGACCGGAGTCGAGAACCCAGAGCTGAGAGCAAAAGCTATCAGAAATATGGAGAAAGGTACGTGCTTTGATCTTGATCCAAATTTAATTCGCAATTAAGAATAGATTTTACATTTGGTCGTGCGACACAGGATATCAGCGCGAATTGATATACAGACATCCGGACGGTTCGTACTCCGCGTTCGGCCCGGAAAGCTCGGAAGACGGCAGCTCGATTTGGCTCACCGCATTTGTGATCAAATCTTTCGCTCAGGCGAAGAGTATAATTCACATCGACGAACGAGATCTTAAAATTTCTGTAAAATGGATGGTGAAGAAGCAATTGGAAAATGGATGCTTCCCTGTGATCGGCAGGATATTCCACAAGGATATGAAGGTATTACAAGCGACATTTGTGATTCTTCCTCCAAAAAGTGATACCTAACACCCTTAAACGTGTTCGTAGGGTGGTTTGCAAGATGACGACAATTCTTCCTCGGCGTTAACGGCTTATATCCTGATCTCGCTCTTAGAATCGGGCGTGCCATTAACAGCATCGCTCATTAATAACGCTCTACATTGCCTGGAGAAAGGAATGGAGAACGACGGCGGTACGACGTACACGGCAGCTTTATCCACCTACGCCTTAACGTTATTGGAGCACCCGAAAGCGAACAATAGCATGAAATCGCTTATGACACGTGCCACGCGAAACAACGTACGTATAACAAAGTTGACGCTAATTTTAATGTTAACGAAAACAGTTCTTGCGAGGCAACAAATCTCACAATCAGTCGATGTAATCTTCATAGCAAATTTTTGTTCGCTAGGATCTTCTCTGGTGGGAGGACAAGTATAAACCGTCTCTAGGATTGAGTATTGAGATGACGGCGTACGCTGTGCTGTCATTAGTGAAATTAGGTGGCGAGACGAACATGGTCGAGGCGTTGAAAGCAGTCCGTTGGATGTCAAAACAACGCAACGCAGAGGGCGGCTTCACGTCCACGCAGGACACTGTGCTCGGCCTGGAGGCACTCACCAAGTACGCCACCACGATGTCGAGCAACGCGACGGATCTCTCGGTACTCGTGACCGCCGGCGAGGTGGACCAGGTGTATAGAATGCACAACGACAATCGCATGGTCCTCACACAGATTCGCTTGCCCGTAATACCCACGATAGTCGAGATCTTCGCTGAGGGTGAAGGCTGCGTCTTAGTGCAGGTAGCTTTGCATTTTCACAGAAATATCATAAGATATTTCGTCTAATGAAGAAGCAACCAACCCTTGACCCCTCTTGAATTTTGCTAAATTTCTAATGTTACAGTACACTCCATTCACTAATACAAAGTACAGTAACTCTGTCCAATGGTTTGGTTTAGGATCACTATTTGGTCCTAAACCAAAATAGTTTAGGAAATATTAATATTAGAAATGTTTCTTTCGATATCAATGATAAATAAACTATGTTTATGCAAAGAAGTTGCATTCATAAAATGCGCTTAGTGTAAATTAGTAATGTATTTTAAATTGTTTCTATGATAGATATGACTATCCAAAAACGTGTACATATTATAATCATAATATTGATAGTGCACAAATTGAAAGTCCCGACACCGAAGATTAATTGTCATATAATGTATTTTTGTTAATTGTGATGTACTTCTCTTTTTAATGTCATTATATAGTTATATTTTTCTTATTTATAATATAACATAATTATAGTACATAAATTAAAATTTATTTTACAGAATTTTAAAACAATTATGCACACAAAAAATTTTAAACATTAATATTTCATAAACTATTATTGTGCATTTAGCTAGACAAAGTAACTGTAACTTATATTAGTGAATAGGATATACCGTAACATTAAAAATTTAGCAAAACTTAAGAGGTCAAGGATTTTGGTTGACCCCTTTAAGCCAAAAGTTCGCGTAAGTGAGAAATGGTCCCTTGAGAACATTTAAATGTTAATAAAAATCCGTAATTTTTCAGAGCAATATAAAATACAACGTTGCACACGCAACCGGCTCCGAAGCATTTGATCTCTCGGTTAATGCCGCTCCCGCGACATGGCTGGACGAATGCTCGATGCAAAAAATTACAATCTGTACGCGATATAAAATGGCAGATGGGGAAAGTAACATGGCATTGCTAGAGATCGACATGATAAGTGGATACGTCCCAGATCGTACGAGTCTTCATTCTCTATTGGAGGATCCGGCTACGAGTGAGTGTGCAACCGAGAATATGTTAAAATCACTCCGGATAATTGTGACATCGTAAATTAGACGTCACAATTTTTCGAAAAAAAAAATTCCAAATCTAAGACACTCTGTAATAAATTTGATAAATGATAATCATTACTTTCATAATTATTTTATAGCGATCATATTTATAATAAGAAACATTGCGAAATCACAATTATACTGTTATTATATGCTAATGATATTAGTTATCACATATTAAGGGATATTAAGATAAAATTTATTCCCCAATTCATCCAATATGCAAATATTTGCAGAAGTGAAACGTTTCGAAGAGGATCGGGGTATCGTCACCATTTACTTCGACAAGTTAATCAATCAGAAAACCTGTATATCGTTTACGGTGACCAGAGAAAATATCGTGGACAGACTTGAACCGGCGAATGCAAAACTTTACGATTACTACCAACAGGAGTTGACGATATCTAGCGTAAGTTTACAAATATATTGTTTCATAATCATTAAATATAGAATAAGTATATTTTATAATATATGCATTATATATTTTTTCAGAGCTATAGCTTCGCAGCGACTTGCAGCAGTGCCACTCCGAGCGAAGAAGTGGAGATTCCTAATCCAGTGCCAATAGAAGTGCAAGAAATAGGCAAGGACAACGCGAAGAAGAATACCGTGGGAAAAGAGGAGACAGTCGAAAAAGCGGTCGAAACCCCGGACGATCGAAATGGAACTATAGAGCAGATAGGTAACGCGACTCAGAACACTGTGTTTCATTGTCAGCCAAAGCCACAAACTGATTCGGCCGAGCAATTCCACAACAAAGTAACAACGGAAAATCGGTGACCGGCATACAATTTAGAAGCGAAGATGTTTCTTCGGTAGAAAATTCCATTTTCGAAATAAATAGCGATATGGATACCGTTGTAAACTTTCGCGCAGTTAACAATAACAACATCATGTCTGATAATATGGATAATTAATGAAAATTACGTACACAATTCGAGAGTAATGAGAAGGATTAGTATATCGAAATCTCTTATTAAAGTTATATACTTGAATGATTTAAGCAGTTGCGTGTATATGGAGAGACACACGTATATATATATATATATTTATATATATATATATATATATATATATATATATAAAGTATGCTTCCAGTACACTATTCCAGAAGAAACATATTTTATGTAACACGTGCATGGAAAGTGGCCCATTACACACGCTACGCGTGCGTGATAGACCACTTTCCACGCACTTGCAACATAAAATAGGGTGTGCAAGCCGTGCGTAAAGATGAAAATTCCCGGGTGCGGAGTTGACGCACGAGCCGAAGGCTACTTGTTACACAAATAACTATTACGAAATCACATTCAATTGCATATCAATAATAAGCTTGATAGGCGAAACTTTTGGCTAAATTGTTCTCGTTATTTTCGAGATAAATCTTCTTTTTACGCAATGCTTTCTTCGCAATTTTCTGACTTTTCCAAATTTCTCAGTACCACAAAGAGAAGCTGGAAGCGGCCAGGCACCGGACGAACCGGACATCAATCTGAACCCCGTGTTCGACAGGCTTGGACCTCCTAGCATAGATCTCGAGGATATGGAGGCACCGTTCTCAACTCTTATTAGACAGGGACAAAATTCCTTTGGGACGGATTTTGACGGAAATCCGCTCTTCGTTGTGGTCGATCACGAACTGGCGACTCCCGAAGGGGTCGAAGGGCCCGTGCCGGTTTCCGTGAAACCCGACATCACACATTTTGACGACAATCCACTGTTGAATGTGACTAATGAAACGGAACAGAAGATAGAAATAGATCTGAGCAATGCGCAAATATTACGTACGTGAATTCAAACTAATAAGCGTGAAAATTATTATATAAAGTTGAAATCACGTTTTGGTTCTCCCTTCTTCAGAGAAATTGGATCTTAACAATATCGTACAGTATAGCCCACGCTTACTTTAATTCACTTTATACTCATTATTTATTCACTCTTTTCGAAATTGGAAAGATCAATCTTAATTGGCAAGATTAATCTTCTTCGTTATAAATGGCGATACCAAACCGATTATATTTTTTTTATTTTAGCACCTCTTGGTTTGAACGAGTCCTGCCCTGTATGCGCCGATGAACTACCGTCGAATATTAATGATCTTTATTGCTCCGCCAGTACCGTTGTAAAAGTGGCGATTAGACGATTGCGAAAGGCAAGACTCCTATTAGATATACAACCGTCCCACGAAGACGTCAAACGCCTGCATTCGACGATCGCATTTGTCTTAAGACCCAACTGTTCTTGCCCGCCTTTAGATAATCGTAAGTATATAACTGAGAATAATCAAGAACAAATACATATATACTATCGTTATTACATATTATATATTCACTATTATTATCGTGTTATTTGTAATTTGAATTATATTACAGCTGGAAGTCTGGCACTGTTGATGCATTTCGAGGACGGCGAGTTTGCTAAGAGTTCGCATAATCGATATGTCTTAGACGAACAGGTTTCTATATACGGATTACCACCGGTTGGTGGGGTTCCACGTGAGATAACGGACGCTCGAGCAACGTGTGTGAATCGAGATAATAGCGCATTTCTTAATCTTCCTACGGCTGACTGATCTTCGGCGTTCCGCCGAGAATATACTAAATACGAATAGACATAACAGATAACAGAATATACGTCACGTATCATATTAACAAAACTCAACAATTGAGAGAAGAACTCGATCGGTTTCAGGCGTATAAAAATTAAATACACACACATTTAAATTTTAAAGTACAATAAAATCTATACGAGGCAATTTGAAACAAGAAATTCTTCATTATAATATCTGACTCATTAATTTTAGCACGCTTTGTATGTAGTTTGAAGAAGTAAATTTTACACAGGGTATTGTAATCAATGTCGAATACACTTGAATTTCCATCGCAAATCTCTTCTGCAGCTCCCTCCGTACAACATATTCTCACAACATCACAAACTCTACGTTAACAGTGCGATGAGAAAACACAATATGTAATAGAATAAAGTGTCATTTTTATATGACGAAAGTTATATGCGTTCAACTCTCATAATTGTGAATAGCAAATAACTAATGAATTAAATAAACTGTAAATAAAGCACAGCGATTTATTATATAATAATTGGGTAATTTAATGCATCCATAAAATTTTAATCTCTAATGTCATATTCCCTATTACCAATTTGAACGTGCACTATGTCTTAAAATGGGTATGTACATATAATAACGTCAATTTTTTATCTATTATTAGCTTGCATATAAATTTTCTTAAACATTTGAGAATTCATTTTTCCAGATAAATTTACTGTACGAGTTTGATCACTTTGATCCTAGAGAACCAAGAAGCGACACTCTTATAGAAAAAAGAAATGATCCTTTCTAAACGAAGAAAAATCTGAATTCGATTTGAATTACTTTCACGCGTATGAGAATGATAGAAGCAAGCAAGAAGAGTATGAAAATATTTTGAATTTCAAACGCATGTATTGTATCTTTTATTTGTTGCCCATGTTTGATCGCATTGTAATAGTTATTACAAGTTAACAATCACCCGAATCGAATTCTCGCTACATTAAATAGTGTTTTGTTATAATGTATGTACGATTATTTATTTAATACGTTTTTAATCCGTGATTATATTGTCCATTTGACATTTAACATTGATAAGATCGAATCTGCCACCAGCAAAACGATATTTTAATCGAATCTACTCTCCGTGTGTTACTACATTAAACCCCGTATTTTGCAAAGGACGAGCTATTAAATATCAAATGGATAGAGATTCTCTGGAATTATTATTATTTATTCACGCTGTATACAGTTAAATGCTTGAAATAAATAAACATATACTATTGCTTACTATACACTATCCATCGCGCTGGCTCGCTACAATACCATTGAGAACTTAACTACGTAAGGAATGAAAAGATGAATGTAATTGGCAGTAATAATCAGTATTCGCCGTCTATCTCGCGTTAGATGACTGAAACACGTGTTTTCGACTGCGGATGTCCAAGACAGGAGTAGGCAGTGTACATTTGCGACGAGCATGCATTGGCAAGAACGACGAGTAACGCAAAACGACGCGCATAAAGATACAGTATGTAAAAAAAAATATTCTAACAACGTGACGTCTAACATTTGATAACGGAGCGATGCTCGATTTCGGGGCATTCGCCCGATCGAGAGAGAGAGAGAGAGACACATTTCTTTTTCTTTTAAACTCGCCCAGAAACGCAGTGAATGTAGCTTGCAAGCGATGACAACCGTAAAATACACCACCTTCGAGAAGGCGCGACATATACGCTTATTAACATTTATCGACATTAAGAAAGATGTCGTATAGTATATACTATTAGTACATGTATCACCGATTCGTAATCGAGAGATACACTAACACCTCGACAGCGGAGAATACACTACCGGAAAACGGCCATTTCGACGAAGTTAAACATGAAATACTAAATTAAAAAAAAAAACATAAAAACTAGCAAAACAGACTCGCGCCTCTCTCATATAAAAATGAAAAAAACTCGTGTGTAAACGTCTTTAACATCTTACGCGGATATGCATTTATAAGTTTCACGACTCGAATACACAAGCTCGATATTAAATTATGTATGACTCTCGCGGGATCCCAAGGATCCGTATATTCGTTTTATAGGCTAAGCAGTAGCGATAATAGATCAATAAGAAAATTGTTCGTGTCAAGCTGTGTTAAGCAGAAAAAATATAGAACTATAAGACACAAGTTGTACTGGAGTATTGTCGTTGTATCGGTACGGATCTTATGAGACAATTCCCTAATCAAATCAGTTTCCTTTATAAATATTAATACGCATTATAAAAATCTTCCCACATGCTGCATTCTTTTCGGATATTACGCTACAATATATAATCGCTATATATATATGTGTGTGTGTGTGTGTGTGTGTGTGTGTGTGTGTGCGTGCGTGTGTGTGTGTGTGCGTGCGTGTGTGTGTGTGTGTGTGTACACACACACATATAACACCGTTAAACCTACGCAAAGTTACTCCCGATTCGATTCTTACTTAATCACGTGTTGTTTCAATCACGCGCCTCGTTATTGTACAATAAATCATATATCGATTTAATATGGAGCCTGCGTGTTATCAGGGAAATTTCAACGGGCAGACTAAAATTACAGCGACGCAATAAATGTAAACGGCGGCCTCGGTACATTTACGCATGAAATTCAAAATTGATGCGCAAAAAATATAGATGAAGAATCGGAAGATACTGGTTTCTATCCGACTGATTTTTATCGTATCTCGCGCATCAATCATGTCAGAATGAGAACATGTTGCTCGTAAAGCAACGCGACGTTATTACGAACTTACGCGAAGATCGCTGCTGGACTACTCAGTAGATTTTGGGCGCCGAACGATCGTTGATCGGGCCGCTGGTCTTCCTCAACGGGGTACCCCGTCTAATCTGATCCATGAGGGAGTCTCTCATTTGCAGAGGGTCCATAATGGGCACGCGATTACCCATAATGCGCCTGATACTCGCGGATCTGCTCGTGCCGTTGTTTCCCGTCTGCTGCAGGGCTTGTTGCTGCTGTGCCAGTTTAGCGTTCAACGTCTCGAGGAAGCCGGGAGCCGCCGCTTTGACGTTCTTGTTGGACTGCTGTTGCTGCTGCTGTTGCTGTTGTTGTTGCTGCTGCTCCGAGAGTGACTGTTTCCTGAGAGATTTCGGACTGCCGCTCGCATTCACGCCCGCCGCATTGCTGCTTATGGTACCGATAAGTTTAGCGTTGAGCACTGCCATAAATCCCTGGCCCACGCCACCCGGTCCCTGCCCTTGACCCGCAGCTTGACCAGCTTGGCTGATGGTAGCATTACTGGATACATTGGTCGTTTGCGCGCCGACAGATCCGCGTTCTTGAGATGTCGAACGGGCAGCCGAGCGTTCCACTGACGAACGAGTTATTTGTAGCACGGTATTGTGTTGAATGACACCCGCAGGATTACTATGCGCCTGCTGCTGTCCGGTAGCCTTCCGTAAGAGCGACGGACTGGCTGGTGTATGACGGAGCTCGGTCAGAGTCCTTACCGTCTCGGAAACCGAGATGGATCTAACGGAAAAGAAGAAAAAAATAATTAGATAGAAGTGCGGACTTGTATAAAAAAACGGAAAGATTAAATTATCATCGTAGGAGGTTCGATTATCAGGTCAAATCCAACTTATTAATTTGAAATTTTTGTGTAAGTCTTGGACTGTGTATTATATAATCTTACCTTGGGTGAAATTGCAAAACAATTTACCGTCGCGTTTCTAAGATATTCGCTTTAAAAGTTACAGAAATTGTATATACATATATAGATATACTCCCCCCCCCCCCCATGTAAATATCATATTATGTATCTCTGCTTCTATGCGGTAAAAATGGATTAATTTATGTTACACTTCTATCGAGAATTGCAATCACGGTTTTTTAATTTGTTAAGTTGTATTTTTTCAATTTTAAAATAATTTATTTAAACAATATTAAATATAAAAATAGGACAAAATTGCAATTTTTCTTCTTTTTCTGTCTCAATGATAACATGTTGTTTATGAATTATTTCTAAAACTACCTTTATACTGTTTAATCATGAAAACAAAATTATACTAAAACAGTCAAACCACCTTAAAGTTTTCAATTGTAGAGCAATTTATTACAACTAAAAAAAAAGAGCAACGTCAATTTCTACCTCTGAGGTGTAGGACTGACTGTGGGTGAAGAGCTTTCGAGAAGGAACGCAGGCGGAGGAGGAAGGTTCTCTGTCTCGTCACAAACGTTCTCGCCCCGATCTTCATTAACGGACGAAGTGGGGAGTGCGTTGATAACAGTGGATGTGCGTCTTGTCGGCGGCGGCGGTCTGCTCACATGCTGTGTCGACCCTCTGCGTGTCGTTAACGTGGCCGCGGCGCCAGGTACATTCCATGTGTTCTCGTTTTGATTGTGAAGCGAATGAGAATGCGGCAAAGTGTTTTGGCTTCCGTATCCGCTGCTGGATTCCAAACTGGACTCGGATGTTTGACTGCCGGCATCTTTCTCCGGGACGTCAGTCTGTACAATTCGACGAAACATAAGCGACAAAAGTATTTGTTTTAAAATATTGTACATCGTACAATTCGTCGCTCGTACCTTGACAGTTCCTGGAGCCGTTAACGATGCCGGAGGGGGAGGCAGTGGAAACTGCATCTCTTGAGCACGACTGGCAGCTAGATTCGCTAACTCATGCATGTTTACGTACATCGGTTGTTGGAGCTGATGGGTCGTCAATTCTGCATCAAAATCGTTATAACGGTAAATCTAGTCGAAACATACGGAGTGATGTTATACAAACCTTTCGCCAAATGAGCCGGAATCGGTAACTTCGGTTTTCCTCGAGGACTTCCAGGCGGCTCGTTCTTCACCGGAATAGTCGGTCGTTCCAAACTGGAACATCTATTCGGTATAGGTGGACGATTGCCGCTATTATTTCTACGGAGCTGCACCCTAGACAGCTGCTGATTCGAGGAAGAACATGAAGAGGAAGAAGAAACCGGAGAGGCTGGTTGGCTGTGGCAGCAACTGCTACCGTCGCGATCCGGAGCTTGGAATGTGTAGACGCTGAGTGCCGGTCTTTGATGCCCCTTTTCGTACGCTAAAATAGATGAAAAAAATAACATAATTGAATCGAAATTAGTAAATCGGGGGCTCGATTCTTGAATTCATTCGCAAGAGAAACGTATGTGCAAATGTTGTTCTTACAGAAAAGTTAAGTCTTATGGCAAGTCGATTGGCTATCGCATAGCTTTTGACCAATCAATTTGCAACGTTTCTGTAAGAGCAGAATTTTCGCATACGTTTCTCTTACGAATAAATTTAAGAATCAAGCCTCCGATTACATGACGAACATGTATGTAAATCTCACTTACCAGAGGAAATAGTATGTGGCCGTTCGTTCATCGCACTTGGATTTTGCCGGTCGTACTGAGCGGACGTTTCCTGCAAATCAGGCCAAGTAGAAGTTGTCACGGGTCGTGTTACAGTGCAACCGGTACTTTGATTACTTAGAGAAGACACATTCGATACCTAAAAACACAAGCCGCCTCTTTAATCGACCGCCAACAATGCGGAACAAAATGAGAAACAACGTACAAAAATGCATTCTTAAAGTTAAGCTACAAAATTCGTTCAAAACTGGGAACATAAGCAAATCTAGCAACATGATCACTAGGCAGTGGAAATTTGTAAGGTCTTACACTTTGAATTTTCTACACTGTGCTATGAAATTTTAATGTGTACAATTCTTGAAACTTATAAAATCAATATTTAGTCAAAAACTGAATGTTCTTTTAAAGAGCTCGTTGTTGAAGAGAGACGACTGGCTTTCGCTGCACACATATCGTCCGTTCCGAGAAGACTACTCATCGTAGTTCTGCTAATCGCTAAACGACCTTACCTGATGTTCGGAAATCGGTTGATTGTACAATGTGTCCTGTGATGTAAAACCGGAGTCACGGGAACTACCGCTGGTCAAGTGGCGCAGCGTTGCAATGCCGCTGATGCTGGCAGGCCTGACACCAACTGGCTACAATGAGTACAACATCGACTACCACATACAATAAGCTCGGCGGGCAAATGTAGCGATTAGTTCGTGCTATAAAATCTATGTTTGTGACCACTTAGGTGCATTGCAGTTGATGCATTAACGGTGTCACTATGTCATGCGACATAAATAAAAAACATCTAATGGATCAATCCATAGAAAAAACCGAGAAAGAAGAAAAAGACGGAGGAAACAAAAAATACTGTCGGCGCATAATTACCTGAGAAAGCGATCTGTGCCACGGGTGTCCAGATGGGCTCGGATGGCTTTTACAAGATCCACTACTGCTACTAGTTAGAGAACTGATCGAACACATAGAACTCTTCCTCGATCCGAGAGACAATGACGGACTCGACGGCGGCGTAGCCAATGACCACTGAGTAACGTCGCAACCTTTTATGTCCGTTATTACCTGCTCGGATGCAGGCGGTAAGTGATGCGGCGACGCGGCGTGTCTTTGCAATTGATCGGAGACCTCTTGCAGATGCGTCAATTCCATTAACATCGCTATCTCCTCGTCCTAAACGGTTGATTATGCATTTATATATATCATCGCCTTTGTACATTGGTTAACGAATTGTATATACGTGTATATCTTTAGAATCCATCTACTAACGAGTACGGGTTTCAGGAATCGGGCAAGGAGACAAAATCTGCCCCTCTCTTCGAGAAGGGCCGCACGGACGGCTTTTCGTTCCGTTTCTTCTAAACTCAGTCTTTTCTCCTGAACAACCGCTGCTGATGATTCTAGCATCCTATTGAGCTCCACATCGGAACAGGTCCCGTGGCTTTGAGACTGTCCTTGAACGTGTAAGTGAACTTGAACCTTTCGTGCTTTCTTCTTTTGCAGACGCAGAGTGTCGGTAGAACGTTTCTTTAGCTCCGCTCTTGCCTTTTTGAATTCTAAAAATAGCGAGATATCGGATTACAGAAGGACGACTCTTCATGAAAATGTAGTTTATCAGAGTACTACAATCGTTAACCTTTGGCATGTTCTTTGTCTAAATTGATTAAAGACTTCTTCCAATCTTCCAATTTCTCTTGTAAAGGCAGCACCAAACAGTCCATAATAGCGCTTGAAAGACGCAAACAGTAGATATGAGTGTAAAGAATGTTCGGAAATTACTGAATGGAAATTTAAAAAAATTTTAATTTAAGCTGTACAGAACATTTTAACGTACCTAGTAAATGATTTCATACGAGTTTCTACCGCTTTATGTCTTAGACATATTCGCGTCAGTGCTGTTCCAATTTCCTTAGTTGCACCTTAATAGCAAATATTTCAACATTTACTTTATTTTGTTCATTTAAATGTATTTAGATGCATTTAACAATTCATATTCTGTATCTTAAAGATAAAGAATCGTATCTTTATTATTATGAATTCAGAGAAAACAAGGTTTAAAGTTTTAGATAAGGAAATGGTGTATTTTTTAGATATAAAATAAAAGAAGCAACTTGATTTGAGTTTTTAATAAAGTAATTTAACTGACATGTTTAATAGTGCAACTTCTAATAACACGTTATACCCAAATTAAGACACGATGAAAATTTTCAATACGACTTTTTCTAAACACACACATTGTATCTTAAAAACTAATTATAATAGACCCTTTACCATTATACAATTTAAGCTCCTGGTATATTGAGAAATGTATTAACTCTATTTTGTGTGTGTGCTAAAACCTGGAAATACGATTCTTTATCTCTAAGGTACAGAATTATATAGGCAATAAAAGTTTCATTATCATTAATTAATCAATTAGGACTTACCTCTGGCATTAGTCGCAGCATCTGCTATTTTCTGAAAAGCCTCAAGATAAGCGGAAATAGCCAAGATAGCAGCTCTGTAATAATATATATCTCATATTAAACATAAAAATTTCTAAAGCATCCTGAATACTTTCAACCTTTATTTTATCAAAAGTACAACATAAAATAAACATGTAGAATCTTTCACATTAACACGTTGAAAACAGCATAAATATATAATAAATACAATAAAATATACCGTTGAAAAATCTTAAGCACAAAAGAATTTTCTATATACATTTGAACTTGCGTAATTATTATAAAGTATACTTAATAACACACAATGTATTCGAAATTATACAAATCTCTTCACCTCAAGCTCGCGTGTAACTTGGTAGCTTTCGAAATCAAATCTTCCCAAAGTGGTGCTCCGTTCTATAAAAAGAAACAAAGTGTTATAACGCATGCAAATTTAACTCCATTTATTGATATTGGCACAGCTCTAATATTAGTTTCTATAGTGTTAGGCAAACAGCAATCTAGACTGATATACTGGTAAGAGATAATCTAATCATACACGCCCATACATTTGGTTCAATCATATATATAATATGTGTGTGTATGTGTGTATATAAAATACTAGTATAGAATATATTTCCTAATGCAATATTATGGCTGCGGCCCACTTGACGCTACAAATGCTTCGAAGCATTCCTCTTCTCTTTTCTTTCAATGAAGAAAGAAGGAGAAGAGAAATGCTTCGAAGCATTTGTAGCGTAAAGTGGACCGCAGCCTATGACTCATAGGAGAAACTAACTCGCACGAATAAAGTAGAATCAATGCTTTTGCTCCTGTTTCCTTAAAAAAAAAAAGTTTTAATAACACTTAAAACAATAAAATAACAATATTGAGATTTTTTACTTGTGCTTAAAATTGAAGCATTTATTCTCACAAGAAATTACAGAAAAATCAATGAAAAATAAACAATGGAGAGAATTAGAACATTAGCATTAGTAGAACATTAGTATTTGTCATGACAACAGTGACATTTGCAAGTGCTTTGAACTATAAACAGACGCTTTACAAAACAAAAGAATCATATGAAACATAGGCTGTCGTTTCTCTCTTTTCTTCATCATTCAAGAGGAACACTTTTGATTTTATTCCCCGCAAACAGCAGTTGCTCCACTTTCACTCATACGATCTGATATGTTTTATGCGTCTTGCAAATTGCATTTGCAACATTAAAACATTATAATACAAAGTATGCAAAATATCATTCCTTCCAAAACAAAACAAAATCTGTGAGCCAATGTAAGTCAAGAACAGGTAAAGGAATTTCCAGCAGCGTTAAAATCTTGAAAAACGGACTATTTCGTCACACAGAGGCGTCCATAAAAATAACAATACAATCGTGATTTTCGGGCAAAAAATACTGAAATCATAGCGGGATAACGGAATAAAATCCTCGATAACAATAAGTGTCATGAAATCTGAAATCTCTAAACCAAGGGGGGGGGGGCAGAGTAAACATCGCCCCGACCGAACATCGCTAACGTGAAAAATGTGAGGAGCGTCGAGCGCGGTCGGTCGAGCCCAAGTGAAACGGACGTTTCTCACCTTCATGTCAGTGACGATCTGCTGAAACAAACCACCCAACGCGCTGCACTCCCGCTCTATCGTCGCATCCATCTTCCTTGCTTTCCAGGGCTGGCCTGGCTCCCTGGCTTCAACGACTCGGTGGGGGCTCGGACGCGCTTACGCGACGAGTTCACTCCGCGTCGTCGACGCGATGAACGTTGACAGAAACGACGCACCGTCGCCAGCGGGGACGAGCGGTGCGGCCCGTCATTCTCGACCGTGCGGGAACGAGACTAACGAGAGACGGAGAGAGCAACACGCACACAGGAAGGCAGAGAGACAGAAGGGGGGAAGAGAACGAGACGGGGGAGGGAAACCGCGATAGGATGACAGCGGCGAAGCGTGGACGCGACCACGACGCGAGGAGGTCGTTGTCAATGCGAGAATAGACTTTACCAGCAATAGGCGCGCGAGGTGAATCTCTTCTCTCCTCGACGCTCGCTGTAAACTGTAAACTGCTGTAAACACAACACGCGACACGACGGGGAACACGCGCGGCGTCTCGCACGATGCGATCGTCGACGAATGGACTGGAATGGACGGACGAGCGAGCGAGCGAGCTCGCTTCGCGCGCGAATCTATTTTTCGCGGACGTCGCACCGTACTGGATCGTTGCCCCCTGCGTGGTGACCCCGTTCTAGAAATCGGGATCGATGTTATTCGGTATATGCCTAATCGTTATCCCAAGAAGAAGAGCGAGATGGACAAGGAAAAAAGAGAGTGAGAGAGAAAAGGAGAGAGAGTGACAGATGGGGAACATCTTCCGGATTGCATGAGTTGCAAGCACTGCGATTGGCTACGGTTGTAACGGTTGGCTACATCGACACTTATGGTGGGTTTTCATGGGCAGTGAAATGCCATGAAATGCAGGGTATGTAGTATCGGTGGTAGTATGTATGTACATATATGTATATATGTATGTATATCTATTCTTGAAATCGTTTGTTATGAAACGAATTCGTTTATGAATGAAATGGTGCGTCAACATAGGGTACCTATTCTTGAAATTGTTCGTTATAAAACGAATACGTTTTTATAAACGAAAAGGTGCGTTAACTGGATTCCTATTGGCGCTCAACTAGGAAATCCCTACCTCTTTGTTCATAAACGAATTCGTTTCATAACGAACGAGGTCATTCAAAGTCAAGTTCATATTTTTATCATGTGTCCCCCTCCAAACCATGCAACTTTCGTCTGAAACGTTTTTCAATAAAATCATCGGTTGACGAGATAATCGACTGTATCATGACACCCTGTATATACATATACATACGCACGCACAGAAATTAATATTAGGCTACCAAGGCTGTGGTCCACTTGACGCTACAAATGCTTTGAAGCGTCCTTCTTCTCCTTCTTTCTTTATTGAAAGAGAGGAGAAGAGGAATGCTTCGAAGCATTTGTAGCATCAAGTGGACCGCAGCTAAAAGGCCTGTTCGTTTTAGCTGAACTTCTTGCACGGTTCATCTTTTCTCTTTTTCTCTCCAATGTAAGAAGAAAAAGAGAAAAGATAAACTGTTACGTCATTGTCATTTTGACATCATATTGATCTTTCGTAATGGCTCTGAGCTGCAATTCTGTAACTCGTTATACAATATTATCGTTGTATTGTCGTTGCGTAGCTTTTTTATCATATAGTATACCTGATGAACAACTGAGCGCATAACGAGTTACAGAATCGCACCACTGGCCCTAAGTCCCTTCTCCGCTTCTCCCACCTACTTTTTTTTAGAGGGAAACCTGCCTAACTTGCCAGTTTTACAGTTACGAGCAAATATTTTGGCTCAGATGCCGTACCGCCGTATACCCACGCACCCGGAGCGCTAAAACTGATGCATTTCGATTTTTTTTTTCATATTATATAAAATAATTTAATTATTTTAAAAGCTGTATAT